GGGCAGGCGGCAGCAGCAACTACGGCGGCGGCGGCAGGTGAGGGAGGCGGGAGACTTAGGTGGAGGCCGCGCCCGGAGGGGAGGAGTCGGGGCTGGCCCAGCGGCTGGGCTCTGCCGGGCCGCACGAGTCCCCCTCCCCTCCGAACCGGCCTGGCTCTCCCTGGCTTCCCAGGACAGAGCCCCTTCTCTGACCCCGCTTCACGAGCAAACGCCAGCTCCGTGACGTCACAGCCCTGCCCATCCCCTCAGCCTGATGTCACCCCCTCCCCGCTCACGGTGCGCTTCCTTAGTGTCCTAGTCACCTGGTCCACGGCCGAGCGCTGGCGCCACTTCGCGGAGCCGGCCAGGCCAACCAGACTTGCAGGGAAACTCGTAGGACTTTTCGTGAACTCCAGGGTGCTGGGGACCGTTTTAGTCACCGCCCTCAAGCCTAATCTCGCCTTCCCACTGTACTGTCAAGTTTTTGCCCTTGTCCAGCTTTCAGGTTCGGCGTCCCGAACTCCAACCCTAGATCGGACTCTGATCCCCATATCCTTCTCATCTTGAGGTAAAGCTCCCCCTCACCCTTCACCGAGAACTGTCTTTTTTTTTTGCAACCCAGCTTCCCAGGCTTTATTGGTCGGTTCTAGCCCTTACCCTTCTCCCTCTGAGAGGTGACAACTTGTAAGAGAATCCTGAAAAGCCACAGAGCTCTTAACGTTCTGTCAGCATTCATTCCAATTCATGAAAACCACCCCATAAGCCCTTCATGCTTTTTCCCTCTTCCACCCAAATCTCTGTTTTTTGTTTGTTTCTTGTTCAGAACCCAGCAGTGATGTGGAAGTGGAGACTCAAAGGAGCCCCGGACTTCACCTGAGCTACCTCAGGTATTAATTCTAGGGTAATTGGGTGAGAAAAAGTGTCATATCCGGTATCTGCTCTGGTAAGACTTAGACAGGTCAGGCTTTGAGGACATTGTTCACCTGGTCTTTTATCTCTACTAAGGGTTTGTCATCTCTTTACCACTTGTTTCTTTTATTCTGAGGCTACTCTTCTTCGTTGTGCTGATTCCTGTGTATCTCTGGCCTCTGATCTGATTAGTCATTTTAGGAAAATCTAAAGGCAAAGTCAAGGAAACGGTATGAATGGGATAATAAGTCAAAGCCAGGAAAATAGAGAAAGATATCCTTATGCCCAAAGGGAAATGTATGAACTATTTGGACAGCAGGGGGAGCCTGAATACTACTTAGGAACCCTTAGACACGTGGTAGCAGGGACTCCCAGTCTTACTTGGGGAATAGAGAGAAGGGAGGGCTAGAATTAGGGCAGTGGACTGACATTCCAGAGCTCTCTTGGGAAACAGGAGACTTAAAAAGCTTTTATAGAGTCTATAAATAAAGAGGATTTTTATGGGGGTAGGGAGGTGCTATGGTTTGATATTAGTGGGATCTTTTCATGGAGGGAGGTGTGGAAGAAAGGTCACCACCGTTAACCCCTTCCCACCTCCACCATGCCGCAGTTTTGCCCTAGGGACCTAGAGGAAGAGATTTGAGATCAGAGCCTCTTTCCCTGAAGTGGAGGGGTCTGTGTGTGTGTGTGCGCGTGCGCGCGCGCGCGTGCGGGTGTGTAACAGACTGGGAGATTAACAGCTTTAAGGACCGCCCTCCAGCTGGTGACAGTAGTCACCTGAAGAGTCACACAGGATTTCTAAAATACATGGAGACTTAAGCTAAGTTCACATGGAAGAGGGGTTAAGGGACATTTTGTTACTGATACTCCTCTATCTACAAGTTCTCAAAGCTAAATAGCCTACCTTAGAGCACTGTTTCCAGTCTGTCTGTTCACGAACCAACACCTTTTAAATTTCTCTCCCACGACTTCAGTGAGCAGGGAAGGTAAAATCTAACACTAGTCTCTCCCTGCCCCCTCCTGGCTCATCATTAGTAACAGTGGTTTCATCCCAGCTCTCTCCCTCCTCCGTTAGCCAGACAAGTGTGAATCATGCCAGCCAAGACCAGGTGCACAAGGGCCTGGGCGGGACTTCTTGCAAGTCAGCCAGGCCAGCTAGAATTCTTCTCCTTCAGATTCTCCATCTCCAAAGCCATTGCCCTAGAAGACTGCCCACAGTATAGTCAGGAAGAGCAGGAGCCCACTGGAGGACCTGTCTGACACAGTTCTCTTTTTTAACAGTCACCAAGAGTGGCAAGAAAAGGAAGAAAACCCTGAGTTGGGGACCAGGATGCCTGACCGGGACAACTATGCCAACGGCACTGGGAACAGCAGTGGAGGCCCTGGAGGTGGTGGCAGTGAGGAGGCCAGTGGGGCAGGGACAGGCAGTGGGGGGGCCACCTCAGACGCCATCTGCAGAGACTTCCTGAGGAACGTGTGCAAGCGAGGCAAGCGTTGCAGATACCGCCACCCAGACATGAGTGAGGTGTCCAACTTGGGGGTGAGCAAAAATGAATTTATTTTCTGCCATGACTTCCAAAACAAGGAATGTAGCCGCCCAAACTGCCGCTTCATCCATGGCTCCAAGGAAGATGAGGATGGGTATAAGAAGACAGGAGAACTGCCTCCTCGGCTGAGGCAGAAAGTGGCCGCTGGGCTGGGTCTTTCCCCTGCTGACTTACCCAATGGTAAGGAGGAGGTCCCTATCTGCCGTGACTTCCTCAAAGGTGACTGTCAGAGAGGTACCAAGTGCAAATTCCGTCATCTGCAAAGGGATTTTGAATTTGATGCCCGAGGTGGAGGAGGTACTGGAGGTGGAGGCTCCACAGGCTCTGTTCCCCAGGGACGACGCCATGATCTCTACGATATCTACGACCTTCCTGAAAGGGGCTTTGAGGACCATGAGCCAGGCCCTAAGCGCCGGAGAGGTGGATGCTGCCCTCCTGATGGCCCCCATTTTGAATCCTATGAGTATAATCTGGCCCCGCCCCGTGGAGTGGAGTGCAGACTGCTAGAAGAGGAGAATGCCATGCTCAGGAAACGAGTGGAAGAGCTAAAGAAACAAGTCAGCAACCTGCTGGCCACCAATGAGGTACTTCTGGAACAGAATGCCCAGTTCCGAAATCAGGCCAAGGTCATGACCCTGAGCTCCACTGCACCAGCGACTGAGCAAACCCTGGCCCCCACTGTGGGCACTGTGGCCACTTTTAACCATGGCATTGCCCAGACTCACACTACTCTGAGCAGCCAGGCTCTACAGCCTCGCCCTGTATCCCAGCAAGAACTAGTGGCCCCTGCTGGAGCCCCAGCTGCTCCCCCAACCAATGCTGCACCTCCTGCTGCTCCACCACCCCCACCTCCACACTTGAACCCAGAGATCACGCCTCTGTCAGCCGCTCTGGCTCAAACCATCGCCCAGGGTATGGCACCCCCACCTGTCTCCATGGCCCCTGTAGCTGTGTCTGTGGCTCCTGTGGCTCCTGTGGCTGTGTCCATGGCCCAGCCCTTGGCAGGAATCACAATGAGCCATACTACTACTCCTATGGTGACTTACCCCATTGCTTCCCAGAGCATGCGTATCACAGCCATGCCACACTGACAGGACTAATGGACACTCTACTCCCTGTCACAGCGTCCGAGGGCTGGGGTCCAGGGGGGGCCTTCCAGGCCGTGTCTGAAGGGCCACTCAAAAACTAGGACAAGAGACTGCAAGGAATATACTTTGTAGGAGCATCTCCTGAGGCAGGGTTGTGCCTGTGTGTTCTCCCCATTATTGAGAGGGTCCTCTCCCGTCCTTCAGGCCTCACTCATACAGAGGCTTGCATAGGGAAGAAAGGACTAAGGGACCGTGTTCGCTCATAGGAAGTTGGAGATGTCCCTGGTCTTGTCCTCGCTTGTGAACAGCACAAGTCCAGCACTGGTATGGGAAGAGAGAAATTCCCCACCCAGAGGGACAGCCAGGAAAGATGGGGAAAGTGGGCGGTCAGGAGAGAAGGCCTCACACGAGCCTTCAGATGGTTTGGGGCCCAGAACTACTCCTGGGCCCCTGGGAAGGCTGGGACCATAATACTCCAACCCAAAGACTAGGGGAACATTCACTTACCAAGCTTGGCCTGGAAATCTGTAGGGCAGTGCCCACTACTTTCCAAAGAAATAAAAGATTATTTTTTAACAAAGGAAGTAAGTGAAAATTGCTTAGGTGGCTGTTGGGAAAGATGGGAGCATAAAGTAGACTTCATGCCAAAAATAAGGGAAAGAGCTACCCTTGTAGCTTGTGTAAGTTGGGTAGAGATGTAAAATGGCCAATGGGGCTTTGGTCTGGGGAAGGCACTCTGTGGGATAAGAGAAATGGAGCCACCTAGTCTAGTTTAAAAATAGCCCCATCTGTTTCTAGTCTCTGTCTTCATGTGCTGTTCCCAGGTTACCTTAGTAACCAGGGCTCTTAGGGTCATTTAGGGGGGCAGGTACTAAGGAGGGTGTATGTACTGAGAAATGGGGATCTGGGGTGTTAGGTGCTTGACAGATAATTCCCTCATTCAAACAGTAGGACAGGTGGTGTTGCCTCTTGGAGTTGTTGATGGCAGTTTGTGGCCTTCTGCTCCAACACTGCTTCGTGGCCAGAGCTTTAAGCTTTCCAGGCTTCAGACATGCTAGGAAAAGGCATATGTGGTATTAGTAGACCTCTAATCCTAGAACTGGGAAGGAGGAGGCCAGAGGATCATGAGTTCAGGGTC